CTGCGCCGCGACGCCCGATCGTGCCCGGGGTCCGCACCGAGGCCGGGGCCGAATCGCGCATCCCGCACCCGTGCTGAGGTTGCCGTCGCGCCGAGCCATGCCTACGCCGCCGCACTGCCACATGCACGTCAGGCCACCGCGCCCACGGCCGGCCGCCACGCCTGCACCGGGCCTCCGCCCTTGCGCCATCGAATGGCAGTGTGCCCTCACTATGGCCACTTCCCAAGCACTGTGGACGCACCAAGGCAACACGCTGCGATGCGGTGGCTGTCGGGCTAGCGTAGCGTGCTCGCCTTGGTGCCAACGCGTGATCCTGGCCTTGCAGCCCAGCATGTCGCACTGCCACTGCCCGGTCACACCTCGCTGCCGCTGCCCAACCGAACTGCCGCACATGGCAGGCGGTGCCATCGTGGGGTGGGGAAAGAAAAGGGAAGAGGAAGAAAGGTAAGAAAAAAAGAAAGGAAAATCTTCTGATTTTGCATAAAGGCCTTTGTATTTCTGGAAAACTAAGAGCATGTTACTGTAAATTCATATTCCTACAGTATACTCTGGCAAAGATCATGTTTTTAAGGTGTCTTATAGCAAATTTTGCCTTAATTATTTGTAATGCATTTATTACCTTTAATTAATATTTTAAGTGATAAAATATAGAATTGCATAGAATACATTAGAATTATTTGTGGGAATTATGTGTACCATTATATTGTAGCATTTGTGCATTTTACCTTAATATAATTTGCGCATACTTTTAATAACGGAAGATGACTGGCACCGTGAACTAGAAGTTTGCCGAATCTAGAATATCTCTGACATATGCAACAAAAGTCAAAATTATGCTGGAACAAGAAAGCTCTGAGCTACCGTTAAGTCAAATACGCTCTGTTTATTGACTTGATGAGATTGATCAAGTATTTCAATCTCTCCTTAGTATCTAGATGTTACTCTAATGAATGAGTACGCCAGATAAATGAGTTCATTGACATTCTTTTGATCGCACGGAAGATGCAGTTTTGTTCAGGATAGTATTCACTAGAAGAGCATTATCTTTCCAAACCACCTAGTACAGTTGATAATGAAATCAACGTGAGCAGTTATCCTGTTGCATTTTCCTCAACGAAAGAAGAGGAAAAATGAGTAGTAGAACATAAGTTAAGGTGAACAATTTAGTGAATATGGAAATAAAAGAATGATCCTAATAGCACACCCATCATGAATTGAGCGGGAGAGAACTCCTAAAACATGTTACATCTTCCAAAACATGGGAATCACATACAGGAAATTTAACTCCAGTTTGCAGGTTTAAGGCTTCCTTTGCATCATGCCTCTAATGTTTAAATGGTCCACTAAAAGCAGCCAAAAAGAGACTTTGATCTTTATTGTACATTTGCTCTTCCAAATCACTGTTAGAGAAGGAGATGGATGTATCGGTGCAAAGAAAAGAGAATTCACCTTCTTGGATTGATACAGATTTGTGCCCCAAATATAAGTCCATGTATCTTCTAGAGTACTCACTTGTATTGTGGCCATTAGTTCATTGAGTTCTTGCAGTTCTCGTAGAGCTTGTGTGGAGATAGGGAAGTGAAAGTTTGAGGTTATCTCTTGATGTTGCATGAAGGATTCGAATGAGATGTCCTCTTTTTGTGCATATGAGAAAAGGTTGGAAATTCTATGCCTAGAGTGGAGGTATACCATAGGTCCTTGTAGAACAAAGCCGTCTTTCCACCAAAATGAGCATTTCTGAAATGGAAGAACTATAAATTTCAAAAATAATAGATAGGAATACCACGTATAAAGCCATTGCGACCCCCCCCTAAAATGAGTACTCCCCCAACCCAGAGCTACATTCCCATATTCTGAATTCAAGAGTTTCAATAAATTACCTACGCGAGTTCGTCTTGGTCAAGGTCTAGAACTATCTTCAACGGTTTGTGTAGCCATAATTTCCACTAATCCGTTGTGCTTGAGGAGGCATGTCAGAGGTTACGTAGTATTTATTTCAGATCAGTTGCACCCATAGTAGACTCCTCTTGTTTAAAAACTTATCGAAATGTTTCATCAATGGGCACATGTTCCGTGTCTCCAAATTGATAATTAGACCTCCCTTATTCTTAGGTTTGCATTATTTGTCCCATGCAACAAGGGAATGTGTCTTACTTTGATTCGTATTGATATCACAAAACATTAACAAATCTCTGTGGAAGTTCAAGGCAGCCCTCAAAGTTAAGATTTTTTACTTTTGTAATTACACCAGGGTGTAGCGTAAACGAAGGACAACTTAGCGGAACGTAATTTGCAAGGATGCAGGAAAAAGCTGGTTTTATCATATAAATCAGACAACTAAGAATATCTTTCACTGGTGGAGAAGTGCTTTTTAGTCCCGGTTCGTAACCCCCCTGTAGTCCCGGTTTTCAAACCGGGACTACCAATCCGGGACTAAAGATCGTTATCTTTAGTCCAGGTTCAAATACCCGGGACTAAAGATGGTGTTACCAACCGGGACTAAAGAAAAGGGATCTTTAGTCCCGGTTGGTAACACCAACCGAGACCAAAGAGAGGTAGCGGCGGTGAGATGGTCCTTTTCTTTTTTTTTCTTTTTTATTTTCTCTCGAATCAAGTGGGATACATATCCCAAATCAAACCCCAAATACCCAAATCAAATCCCAAACCAAAGTAACATCACAAATCTTATACATCACAGATCCATACAAATGTACAATGAATCACAATATTGTCCATACAAAAGTACATCACAGTGAATCACAAATAAAAAAACAATGTTGACTGCCGCTGTCGCCGGCCACCGGCCGCGTCCCCATCGGCCGCCTGCCGCGCGGCCGCCGCACGGCCGCGGCCCCACCTACCGCCGCCCACGGCCGCCTCGCTCCGCTGCCGCCGCACGGCCGCCTGCCGCGCGGCCGCCTCGCTCCGCCGCCGCCGCGCGGCCGCCTCGCTCCACCGCCGCCGCACAGCCGCGGCCCCACCAGCCGCCGCCGCGCAGTCGCCTCGCTCCGTCGCCGCCACCTCGCTCCGTCGCCGCCGCCCGGCCGCAGTAGAGAGGGGAAGAAGGAGGAGGAGGCGGGGATAGAAAGGGGGAGCAGAGAGGGGAAGGAGGAAGGGGAAGGGCCTGGGGAGGAAGGGGATATCGAGGAGGCGCTGGAGGCGGATACCGAGAGACTTAAAGAGGAGAGAAAAAAAAGGGGACTTAAAGGCAGGGATAGCATGGGAATCTTTACTCCGGACTAAAAATACATCTTTAGTCCCGGTTGGTAACTCCAACCGGGAGTAAAGCTTATGTTGATCTTTTTTCCTGGTTGGTAACACCAACCGGGACTAAAGATCTCGGGGGGCCTGACAAGGCCTGACAGATTTAGAACCGGGACTAAAGATCATTTTTAGTCCCGGTTGGTAACACCAACCGGGACTAAAGATCAAATATGCCCGCTGTAGCCACCAACCGGGACTAAAGATCATTTTTAGTCCCGGTTTTTAGTGGAACCGAGACTATTGTGGATTTTGGGTGACCAACCAAAGATGGTTTCTCCACCAGTGTTTTTTCAATGTAGTTTTGCTCATGTTGTATCGCCGATTAAACATGTAGCTTCAGATCTTGTAACTGCATACTGTGTCACACTTGTTCGATGGTTGGATATGGGGAGAGTTAATAATGATTTTAATCCTTTAGTCCTCTTGGGGACGGTTGCTACTACCAGTTGGTCTTTATGGCTAAGCAGGAACAATGTGATTTTTTTAAAGAAGAAAGTCTCGTCTCCTTTGCAGGTTATTTATTTAGTTGTGATTAGCTGGCTCCATTTACGGTCTATTCTCCAAAAGCTGAGTTAATAGGATTTGGTTGTTGTGGCTAATTATTAACATTTGGACCAAGTGATCAGGGAGTTTTGATTATAAAAAGTAATCTAGTCTAAAAAGTGATAGTCATTAGCGTATATGTTTTGTTTATAAAATATTACGCAGGCTGTGTGCAACCTTGCTACGCCAGGACTGATTTCAGGATGGTTGTATTATCTTGAAATAAGACGATTTCATTAAAAGCTTCCTTTAACAAAAAAAAAGGCTAACCATGATACAAATAGGAGTGGTCAACTTGGATTTTGTGTTTGGAAACAAGAATAACTAACCCATTATTATCTAGACCAATAAATTAATAATTTCCATGCCTTCGATTGATTTTTACTTGATCTGAAAAAGGCACAAAATTATATGGCATGCAGATCATTTTATAGTAGACTGGGAAACCTACAAGAGATCTGATCAATGATAAAATTTGCCACTTGTAATGTCAACTCATCTTTATAATTGCACTCTAAAGATTGGTACAATTGGCAAGGTGGTGGTGGACTTCGATAGTCTGATTCCTAGAACTCGAGGCCCTTAGAGTTCACATACTCAAGATGGAGGAAGAGTCAAGGATTGAGGTGTTGAACCATCTATTGGAGACCATGGCGCTACGACGGTGGTGTAACTGGAGGTGGGGCTATGAAAATCATCGGGCGGTGGGGAATCAGTGACCATGCACTGCAGGAGGATTGGAGTAATGGAGGAAGAAGAATGATGGTTATTTTATTCTTAATTTTTTTTACTAGAAAAATATACATGCATGCATGCTACGTCAGTGCAAAACCACCTCAAACCATTCTTGGGCTGTTTAATTTCTATCTGGGTTGGATACTTGATAAGTGTTTCTAACCCATTTTTGGAGTTGAATAATGAAATCTATACTTTAGCAACACTAGAGGGTGAAAAGTAGACCTTTTCCTGTATAAAATCTACATATATGTGAAGTTTTTAGTACTAGGGGTTAATCTTTCTTAAACGCGGGGACAATGTTTTATATATTGTAGCTCCATCATATTAAATTGCTATTTTTGCTACCCACTACCACCCTCACCTAGGGTGTCACTTTACTACCTCTATCCACACTCGACTTGAGAATAAAGCAATCTAGACCTTACATTTGCATCTAATGGCTGAAATTATTTGAATGACATTGGAACAATTATGCGTCAATTGACATAATGAAAATGAAGTTGTATCCAATTTCCGTCATCTAAGTGAGGCCTCACACTACATCAATCTGCTGAGACTATATATGTACCAAATGGTTACAATTGTTAACTGATCTCATATTATGAAACTGATACCCTCTCATCAAGCCACTTAATGATGTCCAAAAATACAATGTCAATGTTGCTTGCGGGCTCACCAGATGTCAGGGCGTGACACATCCCTGGGTACAGTTTCAGTGTTTTGTCCTTGCTCTGAGCTGATGTATACAGTTCTTCACTTACTGATGGATCTGTGACGGCATCATCACCACCATGGACAATGATGAATGGTAGTGTAACCTGCATACATTGTTGTATATTGTAGATATTTTATTGAAAAGTACTTTTGACACTTGAAAGTACGGACTTATATGTTAGGCATACTCATGTCAAATAAACACACTCAAAACAATATTTTTACGGACCTGACAAAGCTATTTTCACAAACTCATGTCCTACTAAAAGAATTTTGCTCATGGTGATTGGTGACTTTCAAGCAGTATCAACAATCTACTATACGCAAACCAGACCAAATTGTAACTCATCCAGGACGTGTACATGTAGGAATATAATTGAATTTAGTTAATGGGATGGTTCCTAGGTATTCTGATAAATCAACATGAACCAATATATTGTAGAACCACACCGTACCTTGTCAAGAGTGCTTTCAATATCCAAGCTTGCCATAAAAAGTTCATAACCAGTCTTTAACCTAGGCCTTCCTTTATAGCAATATGGATTGTTTCTTACCTGAAAGACATAACAAAATTACTGAAAACACAAAAAATAAATATGCATACAGTTCAGGTGATTCCTTATCATAGAGAAAAGGTGTCTCCATTATGTTCCATCTTTCATTAGTTGAATACACCTTTCATGTATTTTTCCTATACCTCTTGACGCCACTCCTCGCTTTTAATTGCCTTATCAATGACATCTTCAGTAGGAATAATTTTCCATGTAGGTATCACGTTGCTAAGCTTGCTTAGGATTGTTATCACAATGGGACGAGGCTTCATATCTTCTACAATCTGAATCGAAGTTAACATCAACAATTATATTACATAATGATCAACTTAATATCGTGTACTAATACATATTTCCAACAGTCAATTCTTGGGAACATATCAAGCTGTGAAATATATCTTCAAAATATGAATAATTAAAAGAAATCTTTAGCATTTAACCTTGCACATGGGGGCAACCAAAATAGCCCCATCCCAATTTGTAGGTTCCTTCCTATGTAGCATCAGCACAATAGCGCCTCCCATTGACTCACCAAGAAGGAACTTCTTTTTTCCTTTGCACTCTCCTCTTTCTAGAATAAGGTGTACACATAGAAATATTTACAATAGAAATCTTTGTAAACATCCACCAATCACATATACTAATATAGACAACAATTTCTATAAAGGTCATATGCAAGTGTTTACGCTTCACAAATGCACAATTAAGGGACCATCTTCATTATTGCAATATGCCAATGGCCTCAAGAAGTAAAAATATGGAAACATGGAGTACATTTTACAAGTACTAAAAGTAGGAACAAAGAAATGTTAGGGTTTTTTTTCTGCTAAAGGGCAATTGTAATTGTTAGATAATTCTAAAGATATATCATAAAAAACAATCTTACATGGGAGCATCGTTCTGGAAAAGGAGGCAAAAAATCATAGAGGATAATAATGGAATTGCTTATAGTTTTCAGTGACTCATATATATTTGAACCAAATATATTATGTGTACGTGGTTAAAGCATGTGGTTACAAAAAAGAAACAAAATATGGTGATACCAAGTAAAATTTTATTCAATATATATACTATTTGGCAGTGACAACTGACAAGTAATTTGAGATAACATTTTGTTGCTAATTTATATATATATGTTTACATTTTTTTTGAAACAACATATGTCTAAATTTAATTAAATCCACTTTTATAAATACATTAATTAAAATATACATGAGCATTGTAGCATGGTTGATTTTCTTTCTCAAAATACATATTTTGAGTGACCAAGCATTTGAGAAATCAAATACTCTCTCCATTTTTTATTATAAGTCGTTTTGACTTTTTTCTTAATCAAACTTTGTTAAGTTTGACCAAGTTTATAAAGAAATATATCAACCATTCCAACATAAACATATTCAAAATATATTAAATGTTAGTTCTGATGAAACTAATTTGGTATTGTAGATATTACTACAATTTCCCACAAATTTGGACAAAGTTAAATAAATTTGACTAAGAAAAAAAATCAAAACAACACAATATGATATGGATGGAGTACTTAGTGTTCTCTTGTAATTCTACAATTTACATGAACAAAGAACCATATCATTTTTTTGCGCACACAAATTGTAATAGATCTTTTTTATGCCTTACAGGATGACCGCAGAGTGATAGAGACTAAACAATGATGCACTCAAGGACTAATTAATTTTTTTACAACGATACACTCAAGGACTAATTAATTTTTTTTACAATGACACAATGTGCAATTGTGAAGTCATTTCAAAATTTTAAAATTCAAAAACAATTTCAACCTTGGACACCATCACCATATAAGTGAGAGAACCACCGAAAATGATTCCGCATCTAAGCCGAGGTTGACAAAAAGTGCAAGGTTTTGATAGCTTATGGTTAAATAGTGCATTGTTTTTAAGTTTAGTTATGTCTAGTTTTACAAACTTTATGAAACTTCATCAGGATAGCAAAATTATTTGTTTCCTAAATCAAATAATGAGCTAGCTAGCTAGTTGATTAAATTATGCTGAACATACCACAAACACTTGCAAAGTAGTTCGAGCAATCAACAACAACATCATCAAAACTATTGATATAGCCTTGAAGTCCTTCGGACTTCCCATGGCCCTGATAGTCCAATCCGTGCACTGTAAATCCAGCCTTTGCCAACCGAACACCTGTTCCTGAGAGTAGCAAATCATCAACATATTGTCATTAAAATGGTGTTTTCAAGTAGCTAAAAGAAACTGAATGCTAAACAAGTACGACATGGTATTATTATTTTTCAACATGACATATAGGCATACTCTTGTGGATTGTTTATTTAAAGTTGTTTAACAACATTGTGTGATTTACCTCTCATTGAAATGCTGCATTCCATGGCATATCCTAAACATTGAAAGATATGAAATTGTAATTAAATTAGATGGTGTAAGGAAACAAATTGCTTATATGTTGGAATAATTGTATTTGAAGTTCAAATGTATAAGAGTATCAATAGATAATGTTACCATGGCATAGGAAGATTAGAGCTTTCGGTTCATGGTCTAAAGGACTCCATTGGCATGCAAAGAGCTTCATCCCTCGTTTATTTGTAACATATTCCTACAACCAACATAAAATTTGAATCTCACATCCCTTGATAAAAACAAAATAAAATGGTGATGGTGTTTTTCAAAATTCTCTTATTCAGCATAATACAAGATCGATATCAATTGTAACACACAAGATGTATCACAAGAAAAAAATGGCAACTGGAAACGAACTAACCTCATGATATTTGAAACCATCATCTGCCATTTTCTCTCAATGGAAGACCATGGGAACATATGTAGTTTTATGCAACTCAGATTAGGAAATGGCCAAGGACCAATATTTTTTTAATAGAACAATCGAAGATCATTAGTTACTGAATAAAAAGGATAGTTTTTCAATATAATGAGAAGTCATCTTTGCGTGGTGTTCCTTTTGTGCATGTGCAAGATCTTGAATGTGTGGTTGAGGATGAAATTAACCTAAGTTTAGTTTACATTACCTTCCATAGTAAGGTCATACTAAATTTGGAGCATTGGCCATATACATTTTTTTACAAGAAAGCATTGGCCATATTGAAGGCATGTCATACAATCACTAGCATTTTCGCAAGAATTTATAGTTGGAATTCTAAGTAACAACAGAGGAAGTTGATGGTTGCATCCCAAATGGAACATCAAAGAAACAATGCAAGTTGTATGCATAATTACCGTTAACTAATTTTGTATCAAATTCTAAATTAATAGAAAATATAGTGGCAGATCCAGTATTCTATAATTGTCCTAATAAAGTGTTTCGGATTGACCTAGTTACAATAAGTTCTTATAGTCATCATTCTTCAAGCATGATCCAATACACCTTTTCACAGGATAGCTAATTACACCTGTGGCATCGATGGGCCCAAGACTTCCCATTGAGTAACAATGTTACAATGTGGATGTAAAAGTAGGTTGGGGCACACCTTGAACCAAATACTTCCGAGCAATAACCTGAGCATGCATTTTATACTATGCAGAAGGGAGAGATACTTGTTTTAGCATTTTTAGCTTGGCCAACTAGAGTTGTTGTGCAGTAAACCTAGGTATACCTTGGGGATACCGATAGTATTTGTATATAATGTGCTCCTGGTTACTGGAGTTGTATCTATGGGTGATTCTAAAGTATGGATATAAGTTAAAATAAATGGCTATGAAATGATATGGTTTTGTTTAAGTTAAATGGTTATTATGATATAATTGGAGAAAATGCAAGTGATAATGTGGGTAATACAAAGCATTCCTTTTCAATAAGGAAAGAGTCTATATTTTGTTTGACCAAGGGAGAAAGTCTATAACCTGTATCGACCACAAAACCAGATACAAAGATAATTCTCTCCACTGTCAAAACCCCGAGCGGTTTTCATGGTGGTTTTATCTTAAGTACCGCTTACATGGCATTAAGGCAAAATCTATATATCTATTATATACTAAAAGTCTATTAAACTTCCTACAAACGCTCCTAAACCACCATGTGGTACCCTACAAACGCTCCTAATCCACCACGTGACGCTTTAATAATTTACAGAAAAATATGAAAAAAGAAAAACATCTACCCGTCAATTTTCATTTAAAACGGTGGACTCGATACTATTAACCATTAGATCAAAACTTAATCCCCTTCATTTTTTCCTCCTGGCCAGACCCACATGTGTATGTACGTACAAATTCCTCCCCATCAATCTCTTCTTTTCTTTCCTAATTAAGGTAGTCAAAAGATGCACACCATAATTTGTTACCATAAATGATTAATGATTAGATCTGTTTTTCCATAGAGTTTTAGCGATGCTACTGTAAATAAAAAAATCTTTTCAAGGGTATCATATTTTATGGGCAACCAAATAACATATTTGAAATATGACGATGGCATGAGCTGTCAATTGTATGAGATCTTTGTAACAGGCATAATGTGACATGTATAATCTGATGAGTAATTTTAATGTAGTCTAAAGTTTATGGATTTTAATGTAGTATATGATGAGCATAATTTTAATTATATATATAATCTTTCTAACACAATATGTAACCTGTGATGATAACATCGGTTATCTTATTAAAAATAACTTTGTAAAATCGATATAATCTTACGTTCTAAAATAACAGGTCCATCAATTTAAATAAATATCGATGATGAACTTTTAAAATAGATATAATCTAATGGGTGCAACAGTTTAAATGAAAATCGACGATGGGATTGTAGAATGCCACGTAACGGCCTATGAGCGTTTGTAGGATGACACGTGGCAGCTTAGGAGCGTTCTTAGGAGTAGACTTTTAATATATAATATATCTTCTATTATATACTAAAAATTCATTAAACTTCCTTCAAATGCTCCTAAGCCGCCACGTAGCATCCTAAATTACAGAAAATTCTAAAAGTTCTAAGAAATAAACAAAACATCTAGCCATTGATTTTCATTAAATTAGATAGATCCATTATTTACCACCATTAGATTTATCGAAAGAAAAAAACCACTCTAACCCCAAACCAGGGTCCACCTGGGCCTACACATACAGACAGACATACAGTAGTACGTACGTACATTTTCTTTCTAGAGGTAGTAAGTTTGTACTTTTGTAATGTACTTCCACCCCTTCTTCTCTCAATCTCTTCATATTTATGCACGTATTTCTTCTCCTATTCATACTTTATTAGTTAGAAAAGCAAAAGTTTGGTGTTAAACAATTCAACAACTATAACATCTAAATATATACAACTAATTTTTGATCCAGATATATCTTCAAAATTTTTTATGACTAAATTTACGGCTAAAAGACCAAATTTTCACTATAATTCAACTTTGAGAAAAAAATGTTATTTTGGATTATATTTTCAGACTTTTGCGTGCCATTCAAGCAATTATAAGAAATATGAAATAATAATAATATAATAGAATCCATCATTCTGCATAACTTCATAATAATTAAATTATACCTACAGTCATAAAGGTAAAATAAGCATAATTATGAGTAATGTTCCCAAAATATATTAGTTAGAAAGCAAGAGTTATGCTAAAGAAATTAGCAACTATAACATCTAAATCATAGGTTCCCTAAATCAAATTAGTAATACTTTTGCTTATGTATTTTGATTATTATACATTTAAAGACCCATATTTGGGGCTATATTTTCTGGCTTTTGTGTGCCATTCAAGCAACTATAAAATTATGAAAAATAATGATATATATTTCGTCATCGTATATAAGTTCACAATAATTCAATTAGACCAGTAATGACAAAAGTACTGAGTATTGTTCCAAAAAATTACAACTCCCATTTTGATATTATAATAAATCCAAAATAACATTAGTTAATCTATAGTGTTCCTCCTATATAGGAAAAGACGAGTAAAAAAGATAGATCTTAATCAATCAATAAAACTTTTATACTATTTTTAGTAAATAAAGTAAGAATACCTGAAAACACTACAAATGTAAAAAAAAATAGAATTCTATGTGTGTGTACTTTGTCCCCTTCGACTTTCTCTTATTCTCTTCTCTCTCACTCAACTCCGTCTTATAATTTCTAACTAATTAACAACATGATATAAAAAGATCAATAATTACAAAGCAAAATAATTATGATTCTTATGTTATATATAATTTCTATTTTATTTGAATTTTTATTTTATTTCTAATTAAATAAATAATTCAAGATCCACATTACTCATACTTTACTGTATAAAAAAAAAACCATTTGAGCATACACACCTATCCTTTGCATGGTAACCAAATAGAAAAAATATAGAGTATTATAAATAAAAAATGACAATAAGTATTATATCACCTCAAATCATTGTACATCCTCTGTAGGTGTCACGTGTTACGTCTTAATTAAAAATAAAATCTTAGAAACGGTTAGAAAAGACATCCGACCATCGTTTTGACTTAATAAGTGGATCCATTATTTTTACCAATAGATATAACTTTAGATAAAATCTTAAGCTGCCATGTGCTACATCTTAAAATTTAGAAAAAAAAGGATATTAGAAATTTTGACAAAAAAATCATCGGTTTTCACTTTAATCATTTAGCAAAAAAACACCCCATCCATTTCGCCATCCCCCCACATGTGCACAACAACACTACCCGTCCCCTCTCGTCTCAGCTTGAACTCTCCACTCTCTCCTCTACCTATCCCTTTTTTTTTACCGAAAAATAATCAATAATATTAAAACATGCATATTTTTTAAGCTGCATTGAACTATTTGGAGAAAATCAAATAATGGTGTTCTTGTGTAACGTCTCGCCTCTCCCAGGCCGGACCCGCTTACACCTGGTAGCTTTTATAGGCCATAGACTGCCCTCACAGACCAACACAAGTCTTTTTTGCACACTTTGTCCTCACTATTGTGCACTCGCGAAGTCTTTTTTGCACACTTTGTCCTCACTCTTGTGCACTCGGGAAGAGGAGAGGCCGGACCCGCTTACACCTGGTAGCTTTTATAGGCCATAGACTGCCCTCACAGACCAACACAAGTCTTTTTTGCACACTTTGTCCTCACTCTTGTGCACTCGGGAAGAATGCTTTTATAGGCCATAGACTGCCCTCACAGACCAACACAAGTCTTTTTTGCACACTTTATCCTCATTCTTGTGCACTCGGGAAGAATTTCCTTGTCGGTAACCCATCTCGAAATTGCTCCAGGCCAAGCACACTTAACCTCATAGTTCTTTCGAGATCGGCTTCCGGAAAAGAAGTTGCAACTTATTGATATGAGTATTCTATTAATCCTATTAAGCCTTAGGCCGGGATGTCATATCCTCACCCCATTAAGAGAGATCGACGCCCCCGTCGATCAACCCCAGGCCAGGAACGTCCCCTCTTGGCCACGTCCATGTGTCTAGTGCCAGCGCATGTGCCATGCTGTGTGACCACTCCGGGTCCACACCAGCCATGCACACCATGCCTGCGTGTCACATCCTGATTTTCGTTTCAGGATTTATAAATTATTTAATAAATTATTATTAGAATTTATATTAAATGTTCATTAATTTACAAGTGAAGTTAAATGTGGGAAATAAAATTTCCTAAATATAAAGCATGGATGGATTTAATTTTTATTAAATTCTCCATGGTTAATTATACTCTCTGGAATTTTCTCAGATTTTTCGGAGCTCAATTCCTAATTTTAATCATACAAAGAACATTTCAGTAATTATCCACATATTAAATTATTCATTGAATGGTCTGATTATAATTTTTTTAATTACTTTGAGTGTCCAAGTATTTTCAAGATTTTTCTTGAAACTATTTGAGCATTGGAAGTATTTTTAACAATTCAAAGATCATTTCAGTGATTATTTTAATTAGAAAAAGTTTTTAAATCCTCTCCTAAGCCGTTGGGCTGATTTCAGCCCAACATCTCTCTC